GATTAACAATCTGGAAAGCTTCCCAAAACTGCATCCGGAGCCATCCTCAATGACCTCCACTGACATCTCAATCATCTCGACAAATATGGAATCATTGTGGGTAACCTCCTGTGTTCTACACGATAACGAGTCAGTGATATATTCTCCTTGCGAATTTGTTTTCTTACTCAGGTTTAACCAAGTGATAAATTGTTTTTTTTTTTTTGGAGGACCAAAATTTCCAAGGAGAAGCAGAAAGAGGAGGCTGTACGAGTAGGAGTCGAGTTTTCGCTCTTTGTGGCAGAAGCGATGTTCATGTTATCTGATGACGTGCGTTCTACGCTTTGGTTCGGTCGTTGGCTATTGTCGCATGCATGCAACCATACAAGGAAACAAGATTTGGACGATCCCGTGATGGGAAGGCTATTTTGTGTTTTTGAATATGTGTTTGAAACATATATCAAAAACAAGAATGGAGTCTATCACGAAACTCACAAACCAATCCAATGGAAACGGCTGGTAACATTTCGCCAGGATTTTGCTGATGGAGTCAGAGGTTTGGCTCAAATAGTTTCGATTCTCAAAAAGAGTGAAATCTCCTCAATGGAACAGTCTGTTTTTGAAAACTAGAACCAAGAGCTGAAGAAGCTAGGGGACAAGTTGAGGTCTGTCAAGGATGATTCAGACGCGAATGGGTTTGCAAGAAAAGCGATAGAGTCTAACATTCTTCAGTTGTGGAAGCCACTCTTTGAAAATGAAAAAACACCCCAAATTAGGAATAGAATCCTTGAGCTTTTTAGGCCTCAATTTGACGAACTAAAGCATTTTAAAGCTTTCTGTGGTGATCTTGCTTCTTTACGCATATGATTTATATCACATTAGTTTGAGTTTCCTTGATATGTATCGACTGAATAATTAATTCTTGTTGCGGATTTGGTATTTGGATTATGTTTATGAAAAGATCATATCCCTAAGTGATGATAAACACTCACACTAGAGTTATTGAGCTGTTTAGGCCTGTCATGAACGAAGCAAACCGGGATTCTTGTTCTCTTGGTCTTGCTTCTTTGCTCATATCATATGAATGAACCAGAGTTTCTTAGATTGAATGATTTTTAATTCATATGTACTATTGACTAAATAATTGTTATTGCGGTTTTTTTTGTAGTAATAGATGTTCACTGATTAGGCGATTTACAATGAGAGGCTTATTATACAGTCTATAGAATATCCAAGGATTGGATGGCGAGTTTGGCTGCAATAGAGGAAATGTTCTCTTTGATGAGTCCCATTGACAGTTCTAACCTCTCTATTGTATCTTTCATATCCATTGCCTTTAGTTTCTCTTGTTGTAACCTTGACAATTCCGACTGCGTTGATCCTGCAAACAAGAAAACCCGGAGAACAAAAAAAACCCGAGATTCAGCAAAGTTCCGGAAACTTGAGAACCCAAAGAGAAAAAAAGATGTGAAATTACCGGACACGGGTTGAAATGCTGCAAATGATAGACGTTCTTGGAGGGACGGAAAGAATGATTCGTCACATTCTACCGGTGGCTCATCTTCAGCCCAGTTTAGCGAGTTGAAGAGACGAGTTTGTAGCGGCGAGTCTTCTGGAGCCTGTTGCAAAAGGAGGTAATCCAACACTTCAAATTCTGAGAACATAACAGTAAAACAGAGAGAGCGTTAAGTAAGTTTGTACCTTAAGTTTGATCTCCAAGCTGTTGAGATTCTTAATAGAATCCTTCAGCTTGGAGATTTTTGAAGTTATTTCATTGCTGCTCTCATAATTAATACGATCTTGTATTGGTCTGACCTCACCGGACAAATATGGATCTGCCTGAGACAATAACCATACATTAAAAAAAAACAAATCAACTAAATTTATTCGACATGAAGAAAACAACTAAAACCATTTCTTCAAATGGAAAGAACAAGAGTTGATCATCGATAAGAGCCTGATCAATCACAACACGCGAAAGAAGAAAAAACATCAGCCCGAGTGACTCATCACGCACCATTGCTTGCATAAAGCTAAAGTTGGAAATGCGGTTAATCAACAGTTAAACTGTATTGAGAACCCAAAAGACTATACAGAAGTTTTGGGAAAAGAGAAGGAACAGAGTAGCCCGTCGTCTATTTCTAGTTCACAAGCCAAAGTAGTACATACATGTTTATATTAGTGTTCTTACCCCTAAAAACCTCGAAATCTTCACGCGGCCAGCGCCTCTTATGGACACAAGCGCACCGATTTCTAATCTCTCAACCTGAAATATGTCCATTTCGGAGCTCAGAAAATGCTTTTCCCAATCAACAACAACATTAAAACAACCAATTCCTGTTGAGGAAATGCTTACGTTTTCAATGAGAACCAAGCAGCCATACCTAGCAGCAAAAGATGCTTCAGTTGCTTTCTCACTTATGGAAATAGGATCCAAAATGAAATGAACAAACATATTCTTCTTTCTTTTCATCGACTGCACAAAAAAACACAAGTACCAAGATTCTAATCTAATGCTGCAAAATGGTAAATAAAGTATCGAATCAGAGATTATTTGTACCTCTTCAAGTAAAGCCAAGTACCTTGCTTCATACAAATGCAGCTTTTTACTCTCTGTTGGCACAAGAACCTGTACGCCATAAAGCATGGAAATTTGATGAATTCAAAGACGAAAGCTTTAAAATTAAGATTGATGGTGATAAACCTCGCTCATACTGAAGGGAAGAAGCGGAAGATCGAGTGATCTAGCGACGATTTTCGAACGGCGTCGTTTCACAGCGCGAAGATTGTTGTTACCACCGGAAATTAAATTCGCCGGGAATCGAATCCGGCTGGAGAAGATGGAGGAACAGAGATTTGACGGGATTATAAAGGAGGAAGCCATCGGAAAAACGTTCGAGCTTCCCGTTTCTCCGCCAAGCTCAGCCGTAAGATTTTACATACCACACGGTTGAGGTGAAGAAGATAAGTACTGGGCCCCACTTAAAATTGCAAACCAGAGCCCTTTAGTTAACCGGGTTCCGCTTCCAATTAACATTTACCCGGTTTAGTAGAATTCATGAAAAGAGGAAATTAACCGGTAAGACAACGCAACCGGTTTAGTTTAAATTATTAACGCATGTGTTGAATCCTGATTTCGGTATAGCTGTTTCGATTTTATTGGATTTTTTTGTGTATTCAAATTCGAATTTGGAATGATTTTGTGTATAAAAAGGCAGTGTTGGGCACCAACTGGTAACCGATGAATTTGAAGAATTTGAAGAATATGAAGAATTTTGTTACCAGTTGATCAATTGAAGAATTTGAAGAAAAAAGCAAAAGTTGAATAATTTGAAGAAGAAATAAAAGTTGAAGAATTTTTTTTTTCTCTCAATAATTATATGTTACTAGTATACATTTAAAAATAAAGTTACCATAACTAATATCTGTAAAAAAAAATTGGGTCTAATCGGGTACATGTTTTGTCGAATATATAAAATTTATATCCATACATGTATCTATAAATTTTCGGGTCAGGTACAGGTTCGTGTCGAATCACAATTAACTGTACTCAAAAATTTCAGATACGGGCTTGGGTGCAGGTTCTTTTAGGTTCAATTGTACTTAAAATTGTTTTTTCTCTAAAATTTACAAAAAAATAACCTATAAAATGAATAATATTTGAATCAAAAACAATACAAAACATTTAAAATACCAAATCTAAAATTTAAACTAGTTAAAAATGTGACAAAAGGTACC